AGGACACTTCAGAGCATAGTTTTATACCAAAGATCGCAAAAGATTCAGGTTGCTTCCAGTCCCAAGAGACTAGACTTACCCAGGTCAGTTTGTACCTCAGATCTCATATCAAAGACAATGCTTGTAAGCAATCATATAATAAACTAACTAAGGATTTATTAATTAGGAAAAAGAATTGAGAGAATTATTTGCAGGTTAAAGCAGGGAACATATGTACACAAATGAGTTAGTCTATGGTTCCAAAAGGTGACAGATCAGTAATTACCTGTCAGCACTGTATGCCTTTTAGGGCTCACCCAGGTTAACACTGGGGATCTCTGCTTTTGTTTCTTAGCTCTAGTCCTATGAGAGTCCAAACAGCAAACAGATGAAGAATTTTTATGTCACTATCTTTATTTCCTTCTTCCAGAATTCAAGCTGATGGGACAAGCTTTCTTGCATATATCACCTTCACAATGTAAGAGGCTCATTAACCCCATCTTTGTAGCATGTTTCACTATGGCCCACTTAGTTTTGATAGTCCTCCTTGATGGGCTGGAGAACCACTCCTCCTGCCTGGGTTTCCAAATTCAGAGCAGGCATTTTTACAGTTATAAAGCAAAACCTACATATTACCTTATAGCATGGGATACAGATGTTACGAGTAAGATTAATGCATGCGGCAATTAACCGCCGTTGTATAGAGTATGAACACCAACACATTTTCACAAGTTCAACACCTATTTTGAACAATACTAACATACAGGTAGGTTAGTCTGGTTTCCATGCACGAGCTTGTCGGTGCTCAGCTGAGGCCTAAAGCCTTGGCAAGAGCTGGCACTTTCACAGGAACCTGGCCTCTGTCCCCTTGGCCTGATACACTATGACAGAGTCTTGAGTTATACAGTATTGTGCAATTATGTAACAGGACACACTATTTGGCAAATAATATGGTGTAGGCAGCTGAGCTGTTGTCTGTAGCCGTAGATGTACATGTATACAGTAGTGTTCCATATTTATAGCATAGATTAATGTTATTTGATCATGTAATATAGACATTAAAATAGTGTTCCATCTCAAGTGTTTTTAGAGGCATGTAGCACTGTGGTGTGTTTGATCTAATGCAAATGAAGAAAGAAGAGTTAATGTTAACAGGAAGACTTTAACTCTATTGCACAGACACAAGTGTCATTTACACTAGGGCTGGTCTGCGCTACCAAGTAGATCCCCTTGCTTTGATCTGTTTGTGCATGGCTATACTCAACTTTGTATCCAGTCAATGTAAATGCTCCATTGCATCAACACAGTAAAACCACCTCCACGAACAGCATGGAGCCATCCTTAACCTACGGAGGTTGGTGCAGTGTGAGTGTAGATGCTGCATGACCTGTGTCAACTCAACAGTCCTCCAACAACTGTCCCACAATGCCCCATTCTCTACAACAGTAACGCTCTGGTCACAATTGAAAATTTAAGTGCCCAGAAGTCACAGATACTGGAAACTACCCCCACTTTGAAGCCCCCTACATGTTTTTGAAATGCCTTTTCTTGATTGCCTACCTTGGTGAGCACACCTAGCAGCTCTCCTTGTATGCAACTGCCCAGTCGACTGTGCCAGCACAATATCATAGATGCGCTCCTGCCTGGAGTAGACAGAAGTTATAGGATCTTCTGGGCTTGTGGGGAGAAGCAGCTGTGTTAAGCACAGCTATGGACCAGTCGTAGAAATGTGGACATCTAAAATAGATTGCATGGGGGATGCTGGCAAAGGGATATGACAGGGATCAGTAGCAGTGCTGCATGAAAGCAAAGGAACTTGGCCAGGAATACAATAGATCTGGTGGTGCCCTGCAGATCTGCTGTTTTTACAATGAGCTGCATGCCATACTTGGCAGAGACCCCATCAGCATCCCACAGACTACTATGAATACCTCAGAGGAGCCTGAGACAGAGACTTCTGCTGTGAACAGTGAGGAAGAGGAGGAAGCAGAGGAGGTGGGGGGAGAGCTCCAGCTATGCCGTTAGCCAGGGTCTGTTCACAGTCTAGCCAGTCCCACCAAGGGCGCATGGATGAGCCTAATGAAGGAAATAGAGTAAGTGCATTCAAGCAGTTTCCTTACAGTGTTTAAATTTAAATATGGCACCTGGCCCATCCTCAAGTTAACAAGATAAAGATATCAACTTTTCGTTCATTTGCTTATCTGAGAAGAAATAAAGGTACAACAAACAGGTAAAGTTTTCATTCCCCTATTGGGTTGGGCGGGGGATGCACAGCACATTATTTTATGTACAGAGGGTTGTCCCTTGTATCCTGAGAGATCTCTATGAAACTTCCATGGAGATACTCTGCAATCCTCTTTTGAAGGTTTCTGGGGATGGCTGCCTTCATTGTTTCTGCAGGAAGACACTTTCCCACACCACTCTGTGATTACTTTGGCTGGCATCATTGCAGTAAATAGGCTAGTGTCACATGGGCCCAGGCAGCTTCAGAATGCCAGTAGGAGTTATGTTCTCTGTGCCTTTGGATAAAAGATATCAACCAAAACCAACACCCCCTCCCCTCCTTTCCACCCCTGCAGACCATGCTAACTATGCCTCTGGCTGGAGAGCAGTGCTGTGCCAAGGTGCTCCAAAGCTGAAGTGTCAATAAGCATTATTTACTAAACATTTATGGGCATAAGGGAAGTGAGTTGTGAAACTTATCTTTTCCATTGGAACTGTAAATGCAGTGGTACATCTTGTCTTTTTTTTAAATCAGCTGCTTCTGGTGTGGTACTTCCCCATTCCACACCTGCAGAACACCTGACCCTGATGAGGAAGAGAAAGAAGAGGACATATTCAGTGAGATACTATAAGTCAGTGCTGTATCAGACCATGAACAAAGGGCTTGGAGGGCCAATATGACTGACAGCCTAAAGAAGGAAAGAAAGGACAAGAGAGAGACCCAGGAGTCTCGGCAGGACAAAGAGAGGGAAATACACCAGGACATAATGGGACTTCTCAGGCAGCAAACCCAAATGCTGCAGCACGTGGTTGACCTATAGATCCAAAAACGTTAGACGCTCCAGCCTTTTCAGCTCTTGGAGAACTTCATGATTTCTGCTCTCTACCCCTCCCAACATACCACATAGCATCAAGGGGAACATCCTTATCCCTATCATTCCTCGCCAGGGACAGCAAGGAAAACCACGGCTTCACAGAACCATGGTTGGTGTGTGGGTAGCCACAACAGACTACACTTGTGCACGGAAGTGGACAGAAATGTTTGCTTATAAAGTTTCACTCCATTAATTTGTTAGAATTTTGTATTACATTGCCTGTGGGATTTTTTGTATTGTTTTTCTGCACTGTTTTTCCCACTCAGTAAAGTTCTATTTTTGGAGAATAAAATTATCTTTATTAGTTCACAACACACATTGTAGAATGCATATCAGTACTCAAAGCAAACAGTACTTGTTAATATCCAGCAAGCACAATGTAATTCATAGCCTCAGGAAAACACCTAGTCATATTTATAAATGAACAGCAAGCAGTACACAATTCTTAGCAACACCCAAAGCTCCAACTCCAAAGACTAATCCAGCACCGAACACTACTGTGGCTGACAGTTAAAGTGCTCTTTCAAAGCCTCCCTCAACTGTATAGCCCCACACGGGGCTCTTGTAATGGCCCTTGTGGCTGGCAGACAGCTGCTCCAGCTCCACCCCGGCGGGAGCTTTTCCCCCTTTGCCTCACAGATATTATGCAGAATACAACAGGCAGCTATAACTGTTGGGATATTTTTCTTGCTGACATCCAGCTAGAAAGTAAACACTGCCAGAGTGTCTTCAGCCTACCAAAAGCACATTCAGCAATCATTCTGCATCTGCTGAGCCAGTAGTTGAATTTCTTCTTGGTGCCGTCAAGGTGACCAGTGCATGGTTTCATGAGACGGGGGAGAAAGGAGTAGGGTGGGTCTTTCAGCATCACTATTGGCATTTTAATTGCAGATGGCTAACCAATTTATTTGAGCATCCGATGAAGTGAGCTGTAGCTCACGAAAGCTTATGCTGAAATAAATTGGTTAGTCTCTAAGGTGCCACAAGTACTCCTTTTCTTTTTGCGAATACAGACTAACACGGCTGTTACTCTGAAACCTGTCAGGAAAGAATGTTCATGCTTGCAGTTTTCTGAGGAGTCCTGTGATCTTAAAGATGCAAGTGTTATGCACCTTCCCTGACCCCAGTCCATATTGTTCTTGGTAAAGTGTCCCCGGTGATCCACCAACACTTGCATAACCATAGAATAGTAGCCCTTTCTAATGATGTATTCTGTGGCAAGGTGGGCAGGTGCCAAAATACAGATATACATGCTATTGCCCCACTGCAGTTCAGGAACCACCATTATTGCAAAAATCCATCCGCTATGTCCTGCACACTGCTGAGAGTCCTCCCTAACAGGAGACGATTAGTGGCCATATATACTTGCATTATGGCAGCCCCACACTGTGGATTTTCCAACTGCAAAATGATTTTCCATTGACTGGTAGCAATCTGGCATTGCAAACTTCCAGAGAGTGATCTCTACTTGTTTTTCCATTGTCAATGCAGTTCTCATTTTGGTGTCGCTGCACTGGAGAGTTGAGGTGAGCTTGGTACACAGATCCAGGAATGTGGCCTTTGTATCCAAAACTTTTGCAGCCTCTGCTCATCGTCCCAAACCTATATTACAATGAGATCCTTCCAGTCAGTGTTTGTTTCTGGGGCCCAAAAGTACTGCTCCATCGTCTGCAGCTGCTTTGTGAACACCACCCACAACTTGAATTGTTTTTCACTATGTCCCTTAGCAAGCTATGCTCGAAGAAATTGTTATGGCCCCCATTGTTGTGGTACTTCTGTGGGTTTCCAAATAAAAGAGAATTGAGCATCCTATATTTGCAACATTCATGAGAACAGTGCAGAGCTCTGCTGGCTCCATGCTTCTGTGAGAGATGGTGAATACTAAAAAGTGCTGTACAGGTTTCTGGGATTTTTTTTTTAAAGGCATGAAAATTATGGGATATGGATGGCATTAGGAAATTCAGCACGTTGCATGCTGGGAACTGGACCTTTGCATCCAGAGATCCCTGGGCAAGTCATTTCTATCTACAACATATTCTGAAAATTTTCCAAAAGGCAACGCACCAGATGGCAGCATGTGGCACACTGAGGTGCCTACCTGCAGCGCACTGCACTTTGCATCAACGCACTCTTGGTAAGTACCTGTAGTGTCAAAGCAAGCCATGTATGCACACTCCCGAGCAATATACAAGTTTTGGTGGCTGTCTGCCAATGTAATTTGCATAAACCAAAGTGTGTAGTATAGCTGTGTCCTAAGGCTCCTTTAAAGTGAGTATAAATGTAATTATGTTTGTCTTGAAGGCCTCTTTATTCTGCCAGAGTGGCATAAAAGGGCCTTAGTGTGTATGAAAATCAAAATCCATCTCTTCGTAGTTAAAATCTCAAGCTAGTGTTATATTAAGGTTTTTATTGTTTTGATTTGGGATTTTTTGCACACAATTATTTCTTGCTTGGGTGTATATTACAATAGGTACCATGCACTTTTGTTACATAATATCATGAGCTACTACGTACAGTTCAAACCAGGTTTTGTCAAAAACGTTTCAGTTGTTGTGTTTTGTTTTTGTTTTTATGAACCTGTGGTAGTTTTGGATTCATGGTGTTTAGGAATGTTGATGTCTGTTATTCACCAAAATGTCTTTAATCATGATGCTTTACATTTTCTTGTATTTTTTTTTAAGAAAGCACAATAATATGAAATGCTTTTATTTTTACTTTCCAAAATTATTTTTTTTGTTTTATTAAAACCTGTAGCACCAAATGTAGTGTATCTGACTAGGTTAGTATCTCTTTAAAGAGTTTGTGAGCCCTCTAGTGGTACCCACTGTGTTACATGTTTTCAAAAGCCACCAGAAACCAGTCAGAGCAGAGGTATGGGTGTAGCTATGCTTTGTATGTTTGTGTATATTTAATAAGCACAGTTGTTCGGGATCCTGCTGTGCTGTGTTGTTTCTTCATATTGTTTTTGTTGTGGGGAAGAGCAAAAACCACCGTACTGAACCAGAGCACCAAGAACCTCCCAAAACAGAACTTGCAAAAAGTCTAAAATGTTCAATACAATGTTTTAGTTTATCAGTTTTTCCAATTACAAATGTTCTACCTCACAGACTCTCACACAAAAACTAAAGACACTTTAGGCAGCCAAATTATGAGACCCCACCTAAATTGTTCTTCATTTTACAGCCCCTCCAGCTATCAGCTCCCAACCTTCCTAGATGCCTGTAAGATAAGTTGGGCTTTGCAGCATGCCTGGAATGGTGCAAAATCTAGGCACTAATGGACCAAGGAGGGAAGCAAATTCCTGAGCCAAGGGCCTTGAATGGGGAGTTCCCTTCTTATTCCTGAGCTACCAAAGGTTTTGGAGGGGGTTTACTCATCTCCACTAACACACATGAAAAAATAAAGTATTTAAAGATTTGAAGAAGATAATGAGAAATATATGGTCCATCTGAATAGATATCAAATAGCACTTGTAACTGTGAAAGCTAGAACATTTTTTCTCAAACACATTTAACTCTGCTCCTATTTAATGCATCCGTGTTTTGAGGTTATAAAATATAAGCTAAGTAAACTCAATGAACAGCTATCAAAAGATGCAGATTTTAAATTAACTGTAATATAAATCAGTGTAAAAAGGGAAATGTCTATTTAAGTGCAGCTGTGATTGTTTTCTGTTGTAAAATGCTGAGATTTTACTTTTGATTCTCTGGAGTACACAGTGTGACAGTGAGATCGAAATCTTCTTCCACATTATCTCAATACAGGGCATATGTGCAGGGGAGATGTGGCGTGGGCCTTTTCTGTGGCCACTACTGCTCTGCCTCCGTCCCCTCACAACACCTTTCAGCCAGTGGATTGGCATAGCCTTGAATGCTCCAATCTCATTCCATGTAATGCAGGGAGCCTACACAGAGCTAAGTTCCATTGTGTGTATAGGGTCTGAATCCCCCAAGCAGCACAGGGAATCCTGACCCATCCATGGAATAGAATGACATTCGTTCTGCTCTGTCCAAGGCTTAATGGGAGATGGGGTGGGGGCAGGCAGGATTGGTTTCTAAATTAACAAAGAGCAGTGCACCAGTCACAGCAGAGGACATGGCATTCTCAGCACCCCTTTTCTCCAAAAGCAAAATGACCTTGAACTATAGAATCTTCACATCTAGATTAGACTTGCTTCTCATGCTCCCAAAAAAGGTTTTCTCCTTGTTTACAGAAATAAACATAGTTTTAAATTCCCTCTCTTATGCTGTGTTTCTGTCTAGTTTTGAAGATTTGCGCTGCATACCTCTTTCCTGAATGACAATGTGCTTATTGGATGGTTCTAAGATCTACTTGGTATTACCCAAACAGCTCTGATAGCAATTTGTAACACCAGAATGTGACATGCAGGAGGGTGCTTGCAAATATACAAGAGGGTCTTTACGTTACATTTTGAAAAGTAAAGTATTTGTATTGAGATTATGTAGCAGAACCCAGACAAGTGACAGAGGAAAAATGTAACATGCACACTTGGTTTGTGTGTTTTGCCTCTAGGAAAGAAGTACCACTAAGTGAAGCAAGAATTTATGATATAAAATTGCAGGGCACAGTTATCCACCAATAAGAGTCAGTTTAATGATAGCACCAGTTTGTATGTAAATGTATGTATGAATTTGAGTTAACCATTTCAGGCCAGGAAGAGTATTCTAGTCTCTTAGGGAAAATTGTGCCCTTCCACACAACAAGGAAATTAGATGGAAAATTCCATAGCTTCACAGCCACAGAATTCTACCTAGTGGGAGAGAGATGGGGTGTGCCCCCTCCTGGTCTTCTAGCGTGGGCAGGTGACATTACCCGTCCAAACTGAAGACATCCCGAGTGCTATAAGATAATTCCAGATGTCAGGGCAGCCACTCCAGGTCAAAACATATGCATAGAAGGCCATTTCCTCCACCATCACTTCCCATGATTCCCTCCGTGGCAGCACAGCTCCCTAGTGAGCGATGCTCCCACTACTTTCCAATCCATGCTTCAGTGAAATCTCTATTCTCTTATGGTCTACATAAGGACGGCTATACTGGGTCAGACCAAAGGTCCATCTAGCCCAGTATCCTGTCTTCCAACAGTGGCCAGTGCCAGGTGCCCCAGAGGGAATGAACAGAACAGGTAATCAAGTGATCCATTCCCTGTCACTCCTTCCCAGCTTCTAGCAAACAGAAGCTAGGGACACCATTCCTCACCTGTCTAGTCTCACTTTTTATTATTAAATGAATAGTACATTTTGCATTGAAATAGTGTTAAATTAATTGTGATGTTCTTTGAATCTGCATTAAGCACAATAAAAATAAAAAGAAATAAATTAATAAATACATCAGTGATAGTGCTGAGAACGGTTTTCCCCATGCCCTGTCTTCTTCCCACCCAGTCACTCCGTCTTCCAAAACCAAGGAAGTGTACCTGTGAAGAGACTGCGTGTGTGTGTGTGTGTGTGTGTGTGATGATGATGATGCCCCTTAAATAACATTTCTGAAGATGTTTCAGTCTTCTCCTGCCTTTTATTACTCTCCAGGAGAGTCAGCAGCTCACTTGATAACATCCTTGAGGTAGCCATGGGAGATATTTCCAAAAGTAGTGTATGTTACCAGTATTATAATTCTTGTATAACAAATTTACTTGCCTCTTTCTGTCTTTTTAATTATTTTCCAGTTTTTAACAAATTCCTTTGCTTGGTCCCTCCTCAGATAAGTGTTAGAATATTATAGTTCACTGAATGGGCTGTAAAGGGGGACACTGATTGCATAATGTGGTTATCAGCTTTGCTAAAAACCCTAATGGTAATATTTTTCTTGTCCTAATCACAGAGATGATGGTGTCTCTTTGGTGTTTCTGTGCTGTTTATTTAGCTATAATGTGAAAGAGAACCCCACCTTTTCACGTGTGTCTCCAAATTAGATTGGAGTTAGCTCTTCAGTAGGTCTGATTATTAAATTTATATGCAATCCTTTTACACAATATAAAAGTAATAGAATTAAGAACAAAGTATATGACTAGTTGACATGCAGTTTCTTCAGTGTTTCAGTTCATGTTGTGCTAATTCATCTTGATATTTCAGATAATTTTAGACTTTGATAATAGTTCCCTTAAAAAGCTCTATAATATAGATTTTCCTTTAACAGTGAATAAAGATAATATGTACAAAGTACTATTTTTCTGGTTGCTGTAAGAGTAAAGGAGTGCAAGAAGAAACTTGTAAGAAATATAATCTAGTAATAACAAATTTCTCAACATGATGAGAGGCCTGATCCAGTGCCCACAGAAGTCAGTGGAAGGACTCCCATTAAGTTCCATGGATCAGTCAGGCCTTAAAACAAAAGGAATTTGTGCTATGTCCCTTCTCTGACATGTCTTTTTAGACCTTGACCTGATTTTTGCAGATTTAGGCCTGATTATGCAAAACGGATATAGCTGTCTTTCTGTATTCAAGGGTTGCATTCTTCAACCTTCTAAAGAAAATAAAAATGTGATCTGGCATTTTCTCCTGCATTAAATGAAGCCCTGTTAATATTTACTTTTAATAGGTGTTTGCTTAATGCAGTTATTGTGGAACACATTCCAACTTGTCCAAAGAATGATGTTTCCAACTGCTGAGTAAATGACCCTTGAATTATAAAGTTAGTTGTTCAATTTTAGCCAGAGGGATGATGCCACTTTTTATAAAATTGTGGTAAATACATTCCAGGTATTAAATACTCAGTGTACTGTTCCAGCATAACAAAGCCAACTGCAACCTTTGAAATACATTTTTTCTTATCTGTTTTTAAGAGAGATAAAGTGTTGGACTATGTCATATTGCTATAGGTTTGTTTTGAAGTCATATTTGGCAGGAAACTGTTTTTTGTTTTCTTTAATTGCCTCACTGAGACTGTTTATGCTAAGGAGATACAATACTTTCCACAAAGAATAAACCGCAAATTCAGCACTGAGCACACAAAGAAAACAACATCCTCAGTTTTGCTTTTATTTATTTTTTCCTGTGTTTATTTTATAACTTGCTGCACTTCTTTTATAGGTTACCACTTCACAGTATACCCGTTCTCTGGTTCTGTGCAGTCTCCTTGCCTATAGAAACTGGCTCCTCTATGCCAGCATCCCCTATTATTGCACTAATTTAATTTCTCAGCTTTCTTTCTTTCTCAGCTGAGCAGTAATCATGGATTTGTAAGGCTACTGTGATGTAACTTTGAGAATGCTGTTCTGACATTTTGGCTGCCGTGCAAATGCCATTGTAGCTGTTTTTCTGTTTCTCTGAGCTGCAAATTTCAGGTGCTGCTGCAGACCTGTTTAAAGTAATGAAGGTTTCAGAGTAACAGCCGTGTTAGTCTGTATTCGCAAAAAGAAAAGGAGTACTTGTGGCACCTTAGTAATGAAGGTTATTCTTACTGAATACACTCTACTGGGAAAAAATATATATGTGGAATGTTGTCACAGTTTCAGTTAAGTACAGCACAATAGTATTAATGATGTCCTGATATGCTTGCCCATTGTATTATCAGCTTTCAGAATGATGGTAAGCTATTTTTCTTTTCTTTTAATAATAAACATGGCTGTTTTTCCTAGTGACTATGCATGATCATTTATACACAAAACATGAATTACTGCATTTTACTGAGTAAAGTATATGTCTATAATATCAGCAGACAGGAATATATCAATACGGTACTTGTTTTAGCACACTTATATCACATCATGTGGAGGAAGAAGGTAGTTTGCTTTATTAATTATTATTACTTCTCATTCTCACTTCTACTTTCAGCCTTCCAGTTGGAAATGTACTGCAGAAACTGTCCACTGATGCCCTTTCAGCAGATGTTACCTCTAAATGTGATATGTTAAACATCTATTCTCTTCTCATTACAGCACTGAATGCAGTGACCATCTCTGAGGGGGACTATCATGGTGAAATATTGTGCAGCATATAACTGCAGTAACGCAGACACAAAGTTAAATCGGAAGCAGGGAATAACTTTTCATAGGTGAGCCTGATGATCGTGGGTATCAGTGTATTCTGATTGCAGGTACTGCAGATGTTGGGTGGAATCTTAGGCAAAACTCCCAGTGATTTCAGTAGGGATTTCACCCTCTAAGTATTTTGACCAAGCAAACCTTCTCACAAGCCTAGTATTCTGGAGTGGCAGCCTGATGCCAGGAGCTATCCTAGTGCAAGCCTTTCCTCCTGGCTGATGAATTGGACGCAGCACTTCCTGTCAGGAATTGGGAAGGAGCACTGATTGAGGAGTGTCATTTCAGCATACAAAAAAGCAGCAGCACAGCTAAGTGAGGTCCTGGCTTTCAGTGCAGGGACCTGATTAAGAGTAATAGCCAATTGGTGAAGTACAAAATGTTGTTTAAATTAAAACAAAAGACATATGTTCAATTATATTAATGAGGAATTGCACAGAAGAAAGAGGCCATGAATGACAGACAAAAAGATGGGAAGGGCCGTGGGAGAGAAGTGAGGGTTAGTACCTGTTAGTCAAGATTTTAATGTATGACAACTTGTGTTTAGTATTTTTCTTAGAGCATCATCTACACTAACATTGTTATTATTTCTCCCTTGGAAACTTTGAAAATTATTATACCATTTTGAAAGCGTAATTGATTTTCTGTACGTGGAGTCTATGCTGCTTCTGAGAACTGAGTGGCATGAAATTAAGTAGAACTGGGTTTGTGAATGTGACATGCATATCACAGAAACTAAGAAAGGGAAATAAGCCTGTTAGGTCATCTAGTAAATTTCCTGAAGCTAATAAGCAATTGTTTTCTGCAGTATACTCTTCAGTGCTTTGTCCAGTCCATTTAAAATGACGTAAGTGATGAGCATTTCCCCATTTACAAAGAACATGTGAGCACTATATGTGTGAGATTGTGTTGTGAGAGTCTTACAGTGTATCTAGTGAACTTAGAAGATGTATGTACATTACTTCTTCCCCTCTAACTTTTTATCCAACTGGACGTTTTAATAAGGGGATTTGTGTTTCTCCCTGAGTACCTTCTCTTTTCAAACCTAGTGGGTAAGCAGTATGTTCTTTTTAGTTTTTATTTAATTGACCTGCCATCCTCACTAACTAATACTTTGCAATCTTTTAGCTTCTTTTTTCCCCCTGATATTCTTAGTGATTTACAAATGTAGGTGCGCATTATTATCCAGAGTTCTCAGACAGGCAAACTGAGACACAGAGAGATTTAAGTCACTTCCCCAAGGGCACAAGTGTAGTCAGTTGGAAAGTTGGGAATAGAATCTAGGTCCCTAACTCCTAGTCCATGCTCTGTGTACTGGACCATGCTGTTTCTCTCTGGCCCCAACTCAGCAAGGTACTTAAGTAAGTGCAGTTTTAATCATGTGAGTTGTCCCATTGACTGTAATGGACTGTATGGGTAGCATCACCCCTTAAAGTATAATTACTAAACAAAATCCAGCTGACGTTCTTTGGTCTGTGAAGTTTGTTATTTCTGTTTTAGGTTTCCCAAGGATAATAAGAAAAAACAGCAGTGGGCCCAGGCAGTACATCGGGCTGACCCCGTGAGTGGCAAACTCTGGACACCATCTGAATGGGACATGATTTGTTCTCAGCATTTCAATCCTGACTGCTTCAAAGAAATTAATGGAAAGAAATTTTTAAAGGAAGGGAGTTGTCCTTCTATATTTTCCTTTCCTGACAATTTTCAGGTATAAAATGTGACACACTGTGATTTCATTAAAAATAACTGATTCATTATCAACTGAAGTACATAACCGCCTCGGGTGGCAGGTTATTGGAGTGACATTTCACACAGAGTGCCATACTGTTACTAATATGCTAATAAACCTTTGTTAGGTCAACTAAAAATAGCTGTAGTAAAATCTTGGGGGTCGGGGGAGTTGAGGTGTCAGAGAGAGTGTATGTATATTAGTGGTTAAATTACGCATTCTAGAACTGTAATTTAAAACTGATTGGTTAAGTAAAAGCAAAAGCTGTGTCCTTGGGTCTAGTTCAGATTCTTTCAGCCTATATTATTTCTCTTAACTTAAAGACTGGAATGGTTAAATTTGTCACAGTATGGATCACATCTCAATAGAGAGAATTTCTCATGGACAGGTTTTCCTTCTATGAACAATTGCATAGGCCAGTACCTTTCTCATTCACACTTATGTGGACCAGGTCTCAACAGCTCTCTGGCAGTTTCTACTGTCTGCTGGGCTCTCTTTCCTAACAGTGAGCCTGATCTGGTGCCTGTAGAAGCAGATGTGAAGGAGGTGAAGTCAACACCTAATATAACATTTATAAAACCTGGCTTTGCTGATGAAAACCCCATTGCCACCAACCTTAATTCTGAGAGCTGAAGTTCTCTCTGAACTTTAATTGCGTTCTTTTTTTTTTTTTTTTGAAGAGAATAGATAATTCTCTACGGAGATCAAAACGTGCTGGCATAGTTCTAGAAAATCCTCCTCTTGAGGCAGATCCCAGTGAGGTGCATGTTACACCAGCCACGGTAACGGTAAGCATCAGAACTGTGACTGAATGCTGAAAGAATAGTGTCATAACGTGAGCCTTTCCTTTTGTATTTCCTGTATTAATGACCAATTCTGTGTCAATTTGAATTGGAGAAATACTTGTTTATTTTAGCATTTAAAAATAATCTGGGATACTGCATGATGCTGTGCTTTATTGGTCTTGGGGCAACAATTAATATTTGTTAGGCTTACTGGAGAACAAAAAATACAAAGATGTAAAAATGTTGTAAAATGTGCATGTGTAGGGTTTACAGTGAGGCAACAGACATCTGCCACGAAGTGATTAAAATACATGGACTGAAATCCTGGCTCCATTGAAGACCATGATAGTTCTGCCACTGATCTCAATAGGGTCAGGATTATACCCATAGTACAAGACCACTGGAGAGAATTTTGAGCAGAACTAGATATCAGAAAACTCATCTCTTTGTCTTTCAGTAACTTGTCTAATGTGCAACAAATTAATGTTCTTCACATTCAGTCATGAAGCACCTGTGTCATGCGACCATATGTGAGTGCATATGAACTAGCCTGAAAGAGGGCATTTGAATTTCCAAGGTTATACAGGACTCCCGTTTCTCATTGCTGTTGGAGTGAGAGAAAGGCAGAAAAGTTTTTTAAAAGTTGAGAAAAAGCTGTATCCCGTTAATTCTTTTTTGGGGGCATAACATCATGTACACACTCCGTTCAAGGTTTCATGGGGGGAATTAAATTTCTCTGTTGTTGTTTCCTTTTATAGAAAACAGCGAACAACCCAAAAAGATTATCAGAAAACTTCAGCTGTTCTCATGAGGTAGACACCAATGGGATGTGTAATACACAGGACACAGTAATGGTGAGCATCAAAACTACAATGGGTATACTTCCTCCTTTTACATTCTTTCTGTTTTAGGCTTTTTAAAATGTTCTCTTGTTGACACTGAGTCCAATCTTAAAGCCCTTATACACTCAAAACTCCTACTGACTCCACACTATCCGTGAGAATCTTAGTATATTGAAACATAAGATAAAAGGCTCAATGATTTTGTTTTAAATGTTTTGTTCACAGTTCAAGATAGCATTTGCCTATAGTTACCACACAGTGCTAGAGGAGGTAGTTCTGTTTCCCTGTATATTTAGGGAAAGAAATAAATGAAGCAAAAGCTCTCAGATATTTAGCAGTAGCCACTGTATATGAAATGAGTACATGCTTGCAGTCCAGTTCCAAGTGGACAGGTGTCTGCCTCTCAAAAGCCACTCTCACAATTGAAACTGTTGTTAACCATTGCCATAGAGAAGCTTGAAAGATTGATTGGACATGGAGATAGAACCACCCTCTTGGCTTTACAGGTAGTACCTTTACCAGGTCAATGTGCACCTAAGGCCTGGTCTACACTGCAGGGGGGGGGAATCAATCTACGTTACGCAACTTCAGCTACGTGAATAACGTAGCTGAAGTTGACGTATTTATATCTGCTCACCGCAGTGTCTTCACTGTGGTGAGTCGACTGCTGCTGCTCCCCTGTTGACTCCGCCTGCGCCTCTCACGCCGGTGGAGTACAGGAGTTGATGGGAGAGTGCTCGGCAGTCGATTTATTGGGTCTAGACTAGATGCGATAAATCTACCCTCACTGGATTGATCGCTGCCTGCTGATCCGGCGGGAAGTATAGACATACCTTTAGGCACTAAACTAACTTCGTAAGTGAAAAATAAAAAAAAATTCTGAAAACTGTAGAAGTCGGTTCTACATCCATGTAAGCTAGTTCAGGACAAAATGCCCAGCTGATCAGAGGGAAAAAATTACATTTTATATGTAAATGAGGTATCCAGAAGGTGTAACTCTCACATATGTGAACTTAACTCTTTCCATGGCATGCTATATTAAGGGCTAAATTGCTAGCACTTCTACCTCTGAGCCCAGAACTCAAGGGAAGTGCTACTTCAGTAGTGCAGCTTTAGGGAGAGAAATGTTCTCATCCTTTGGAAAAAGAAAAGGAGGACTTGTGGCACCCAACAAATTTATTTGCGCATAAGCTTTCATGAGCTACAGCTCACTTCATCGGATGCATGCAGTGGAAAATACAGTGAGGAGATTTATATACACAGAGAACATGAAACAATGGGTGTTACCATACACACTGTAACGAGAGTGATCAGGTAAGGTGAGCTATTACCAGCAGGAGTGTGGGGGGGGAAAAACCTTTTGTAGTGATGATCAAGGTGGGCCATTTCCAGCAGTTGACAAGAACGTGTGAGGAACAGTGGCGGAGAGGGGGGAAATAAACATGGGGAAATAGTTTTACTTTGTGTAATGACACATCCACTCCTAGTCTGTATTCAAGCCTAAGTTAATTGTATCCAGTTTACAAATTAATTCCAATTCAGCAGTCTCTCGTTGGAGTCTGTTTGTTTTTGAAGTTTTTTTTGTTGAAGAATTGCCACTTTTTAGGTCTGTAATCGAGTGACCAAAGAGATTGAAGTGTTCTCTGACTGTTTTTTGAATGTTATAATTCTTGATGTCTGATTTGTGTCCATTTATTCTTTTACGTAGAGACCGTCCAGTTTGGCCAATGTACATGGCAGAGGGGCATTGCTGGCACGTATCACATTGGTAGATGTGCAGGTGAACAAGCCTCTGATAGTGTGGCTGATGTGATTAGGCCCTATGATGGTGTCCCCTGAATAGATATGTGGACACAGTTGGCAATGGGCTTTGTTGCAAGGATAGGTTCCTGGGTTAGTGGTTTTGTTGTGTGGTTGCTAGTGAGTATTTGCTTCAGGTTGGGGGGCTGTCTGTAAGCAAGGACTGGCCTGTTTCCCAAGATCTGTGAGAGTGATGGGTCATCCTTCAGGATAGGTTGTAGATCCTTGATGAGGCGTTGGAGAGGTTTTAGTTGGGGGCTGAAGGTGACGGCTAGTGGTTTCTGTTATTTTCTTTGTTGGGCCTGTCCTGTAGTAGGTAACTTGTGGGTACTCTTCTGGCTCTGTCAATCTGTTTCTTCACTTCAGCAGGCAGGTATTGTAGTTGTACGAACGCTTGATAGAGATCTTGTAGGTATTTGTCTCTGTCTGAGGGGTTGGAGCAAATGCAGTTGTATTGTAGAGCTTGGCTGTAGACAATGGATCGTGTGGTGTGGTCTGGATGAAAGCTGGAGGCATGTAGGTAAGCATAGCGGTCAGTAGGTTTCCAGTATAGGGTGGTGTTTATGTGACCATTGCTTATTAGCACTGTAGTGTCCAGGAAGTGGATCTCTTGTGTGGACTGGTCCAGGCTGAGATTGATGGTGGGATGGAAATTGTTGAAATCATGGTGGAATTCCTCAAGGGCTTCTTTTCCATGGGTCCAGATGATGATGATGTCATCAGTGTAGCGCAAGTAGAAGAGGGCATTAGGGGACGAGAGCTGAGGAAGCGTTGTTCTAAGTCAGCCATAAAAATGTTGGCATACTGTGGGGCCATGCAGGTACCCATAGCAGTGCCGCTGATTTGAAGATATACATTGTCCCCAAATGTGAAATAGTTATGAGTGAGGACAAAGTCACAAAGTTCAGCCACCAGGTTAGCCGTGACATTATCGGGAATACTGTTCCTGACGGCTTGTAGTCCATCTTTGTGTGGAATGTTGGTGTAGAGGGCTTCTACATCCATAGTGGCCAAGATGGTGTTATCAGGAAGATCACTGATGGATTGTAGTTTCCTCAGGAAGTCAGTGGTGTCTCGAAGATAGCTGGGAGTGCTGGTAGCGTAGGGCCTGAGCAGGGAGTCTACATAACCAGACAATCCTGCTATCAGGGTGCCAATGCCTGAGATGATGGGGCGTCCAGGATTTCCAGGTTTATGGATCTTGGGTAGCAGATAGAATACCCCTGGTCGGGGTTCTAGGGGTGTGTCTGTGCGGATTTGTTCTTCTGCTTTTTTAGGGAGTTTCTTGAGCAGATGGTGTAAAAAGAAGGATTCTGGGTGGACTCCTCCTGAAACAACAGACTGGACTTCTACATAGAGTGCTTCCGCCGATGTGCACGGGCTGAAATTGTGGAAAAGCAGCATCACTTGCCCCATAACCTCAGCCGTGCAGAACACAATGCCATCCACAGCCTCAGAAACAACTCTGCCATCATAATCAAAAAGGCTGACAAAGGAGGTGCTGTCGTCATCATGAAGAGGTCGGAATATGAACAAGAGGCTGCTAGGCAGCTCTCCAACACCACTTTCTACAAACCATTACCCTCTGATCCCACTGAGGGTTACCAAAAGAAACTACACCATCTGCTCAAGAAACTCCCTGTGTATGGTAGCACCCATTGTTTCATGTTCTCTGTGTATATAAATCTCCCCACTGTATTTTCCACTGCATGCATCCGATGAAGTGAGCTGTAGCTCACGAAAGCTTATGCTCAGATAAATTGGTTAGTCTCTAAGGTGCCACAAGTACTCCTTTTCTTTTTGCGGATACAGACTAACACAGCTGCTACTCTGAAACTCATCCTATGGATGAGCCATTATTCCAAAGTCCCCTTTGCTAATCTCATGGTTTTTCAGGTGGATTTTAAAGATTGCATGAGAACCTTGATGTTTTGGTAAGCATCCCTTGCCTTCATACACTAGGCTGCAATGTTCAAGGCAGTGGCTGAGTTATTGCTGACCCCACCGTGCACTTTTAACAAATCTGAATAAATAATAGCTGCCACATTAGTCTACACTATCATCACACTATGGCTATACAGCTCATTAAAAAATTCTTAGGTGTTGAGCCAGACTCCTATCTTAACATGTCCTATTTATTTGAGCATTCAGTGGATTCTATATCCTGTGTCCACTTCTTATACCTTTGAGGATTCTCCTGCGGGCAGAGGTTAAACGGGGCCAGTACATGGCAATGCAACATGTCAGCAGGTGATTCTTCCACTACAGACTTTAAATCAACGGAGCTGACGCCTAAGGGTGTATTGTAGTAGGGCCAGAATGAGCTCTGGTACTTATGTCTGGCAGATGAGGTCTAGTACCCCATCTTTTAATCAGATCTGCTAGCTTGTCTTCAGTGGGGCTCTATATAGGCACAAAGACACTCTGCAAATGGATCTGATTGTAGACTTGTATCGTACTTTCTGTCCCCTCTCCACAGCGCTTTGCTCCATGTTGTTATGAGTTCCTCATCCTACTCCCAGTTCCACCATGGAGCTGCAATACGTGGAAGCTTTTTAGTTTTGGTTTGTTTTTTGGAAAATTAAGCCCCAGTTAGCTCTGATACTAACGAATACAGCAAAAATCCAGCATTGTTGCTTTCTTTTATCTTTAAATTAGACAGACCACCATTACCATATCACAGACAGTCCAAAAACTCTGAAGAGGAAATTGGATGAACTTTTAGCAGAGAATCACAAGCTCAGAAGAAAATTAAGGAATGCTTCTGATCAAGAAGAGAGACTCCATAAAAATGTGGAAATCTTGTTGGACAAGCTGCACTCTAAAGACATGTTGTCGAGGGAAGTAATGTGATTGCTAGATCTGTGCAAAGGGCATGGGCTGAATGACAGATCTTCTCTCCCACTGCACCCAGCTGTTGGATAAGAAATGTTCACTAATGTTTATTGCTATACATGTCATTTTTGAATGTATTTATTAAATAAAAAGACATGTAAACACTACTGAAGTTTTCATATAAAAGCTAGAAACTTCAACGTTAAGATTGGCACTTGTGGTGTTCAGGGAGCGAATGTCAGCCTTTTCTTTTAATCCCTGTCTCCTCTTCATTTGTCCCACACGGGGACAATGAATATATATACCCCATATATTTTAGATATATAGTTTCATGGAGGGTGGATGGGAGTTTTACTGTTTCTTTGTTTGTTTGTTTTTAAAGTCTTCTGTAGACATTTACTAAGTGGACAGTATTTAGCACCTACGTTATTCATTTTTGTCTTTTTCCCCCCTTCTCCATCTTATGTCACCTTTTCAGTGCATTAATTTCTAGAGATGCAATGGTGTCATTGCAACAGCCATCCACAAGTGCACTATAAAGTCAGTTTACATAATGGATTGAAATATATACCCCTTTTTTTTTTTTTGAAAGCTCGGCATTTGCATTAACTATCATGTTAAATCCTGTGATCATGCGTAGTAAAGGGTGTGAGGGTGTGTGGGGGGGTGTATGGATAGATGCAGACTTATTCTAGTCCATTGTATCAATATATATTTCTGCTGTCTATATAGCATGCTAAAATTGAACATATTAAAATTTATTACGAAAAATAACTACTGTGTACACTATGTGCAATATTTAGCCTTCACATAGGGTGCCCCCCGTGTAGGGACAAGAGGGGAATGGGCAGAGCACAAAGCATTCCAGCTAATCTAGGCTGTGAATCTAGCGCATAGACAGCCATGCAAAGCTGCCATCAATTTTGCAGTCCCAATGGCTGCTCAGGCTCATGCCGGGCCGGGATTGCACTGGTCAGTGGAGTAGTCCAGAATTAGGTAAACGCAAAGATGGTATATTAGCCGCCTTTGCCCTTCCCCTCCTGTGGGCTGCACCTTTTGCACCCTACCTCCCAAGTGGTGCAGCATGGAATTTGTCCCTATTAGTTTAGATATTGAGGACACTACTAAAAAGCCTTTTACGGTAATGGAAAGGCTTTCTCTGACTTCAGCGGCCTTTGAATCAGGTTCTGCATTATCCAGTGATGATCTTCAAACAATGACCAGGGGGTTGTGCACTGTTTTCAGAATTGTGATATTCCAGATACCCTCCTGCAATTAAAAATATTAATCAATTAAAAACACCGGCTAAAACTGTTCTTTGTACAATAAATGCACATCAGGTTAGGCAATCTGTGTCACACCAGGCTTTTATTATCCCATAAACAATAGTTGTCAGAACATTACACACATACCAAACCTCCATCAAAGTCTTTGGGAGTTTGGGCACAAAAGGAATATTGTCTTCTGACATGTTCAGTACCACATACTTCAGATGTAAACCACTCTCAATGGACAATTTTGCAATACCATGCTCATAAGCTAAAGCAAAAAGGGCACATGAATTTTTGCATTTAGGCCTCTTGTGGTCTCCTTTGAAAACCGGCCCTGAAAAAGATGTGGGAGTTTATAGCTTGTAAGATTCCCATTGAATTTCATGGCCATTGCATGGCTGAAACCCTGCACAATTCTTAGCATCTAGGTTGCAATATACAGCTAGTTATAATTATACTATTAACACATAATTAAACCACAAGTCACAACCTCAACATTTAGGCATGTGTGCAGCTGAAATTAAATAGGAGCTCATTTCTTTGTTCTTCACTGCGCTGGTGGAGATGTTCTGGGCAACAGCACAAACCAGTTTGAAATCCTATAAATGTTGCTGCAACGTATTTTTTATGGGTGCAAGAGGGACTAACCAAGAAATAGGGGCAAAAATGAAACATCAGACGCAGCCCAGAGCTGCAAGACACACACACAAAAACATTCATCTAAAAACTGGAGTCTCCAGGACAACAAAAACTTCTGCATTATTTGCTAGTATATTTTTTCCTTATCTATTCCCTGTGCTTAAATAATCAAACCTTCACAGGCTCAGAGCCTGCAGGCACCTCTGGCTAAGGCTAAATGGCAATACTATGGAGGTGGAGGAAAGCACCTAGTAGAATATCACAGAGATCAGTGTTAGGGGGAAACAAACCACCCTTTTAAACATCTTCCTTAATCATATAGGAAAAGCACTAAGCCTATTAATGAAATGTAGATCATGTGACATTGAGGAAAACTGACCACCAGTGAGAACAGAGATGTAATTCAAAGGAATCTAAAGAGATTAGCAATGTAGACAGAAAATGAGGTTCAATTTGGGAAATTTACATTAAACACAGCCATGGAAAAATACTCTAAAAGACAAGCATACAATGGGAGGACTAGAGCCGGAAGGCGGTAATACTGAAAGAGAGCTAGTGGGGTGATAGATGATCAGTTCCATAAATGTTTGCAATGGAATAGAGCAGCAACAAAGCCAGTCTGCTTTGGGGCTGTAAATGCAGAGGCATCACAGTAATAAGCCTTCTCTTTGTGACGCTGGTGTGATTACATTTAGAAAAGGGAGCCCATTTCTGGACTCCACGTTACTAGAGATCAGAAATGATCAGCAGGCTGGAGGCATAGGTGCTGGAACGAAGAGTGCTGGAGGTGCGGCTGCACCCCTGTGAAGTAGTAGTAACCCAAATACATGGTTTCTGCCTTCAGCACCCCACTATAAAAATTGTTCCAATACCACTGGCAGGAGGGACTTGAAAGATTAAAAGAGCTAAATATAGCTTTGCAAAGCGATGACGACGTGTGGGCAGGGGAGGACATGATAACTACAAATATTTGAAGAGTGTCAAATTCAAGGCTAGAGAAGAAAAATGTAGGTTAGTACAATAACTAATAACAGGATAAAATTAATAACGATGCCAAACAGTGTGATCTTATTGCTGGAACCTTTGCGTCTCCTCACCCAATTGCCTCCTGACTATTTGTTATCCCCAACTGTCTATATTCTGTAAGCTCTTCAGGGAAGGCACCACATCTTTTCGTTGTTCTGTAAAGCACCTAGCACGTTTTTGGGGCACAGTATAAGGAATGTTTCTGTCTGAATAGTATGGAAGCTTCCTGACTTTAAGTCCCTAGCCCAGGGGTGGCCAACCTGCAACTCCAGAGCCACATGCGGCTCTTCAGAAGTGAGTATGCGGCTCCTTGTATAGGCACTGACTCCGGGGCTGGAGCTACAGGTGCCAACTTTCCAATGTGCCGGGGGGTGCTCACTGCTCAAACCCTGGCTCTGCCACAGGCCCTGCCCCCACACCACCCCTTCCTGCCCCCTCCCTGAGCCTGCAGTGCCCCCCCTCCTCCCCCAGAGCCTCCTGCATGCCAGCTGATCGGGAGGGAGGGGGAGGCGCTGATCAGCTGCTGGTGTGTGGGAGGCGCTGGGAGCCGGGGGTGGGGTGGAGCTGATGGGGGGGCTGCTGACGTATTACCGTGGCTCTTTGGCAATGTACACTGGTAAATTCTGGCTCCTTCTCAGGCTCAGGTTGGCCACCCCAGCCCTAGCCTGTGTAAAAGAGAGGTGGCAGATATCTGGAACAATGCTGTACTATCAAGTCCATTTCCTTGGCAAACTAATCAAGCTTTTCCATCTCTGTCTATGATTAGCTCATGCCCATGCTTCACCTACAACATCTGAACATGTGCACAAGGAGTGTTTTCTCGACCTTCTCTACTTCTGGGTAGGTCTAGGAATAGCCCACAGGTGGAGCCAACCCTCTCACCTTGCCCTCAGTTGAGGCTCAGAAGGGAATCTCCATCAACTGTTCCTTCTTAAGTATAAAGAAAGCTTAGGGACTTGTTTCAGTGGGAGTTACGAACACACAACTGATGCAATAATCAAGTCCCCCCCTGTTTGTTAGAAGCATCTCCTTGGTAGAATGTAACAAAACTCATACCCTCAGATATTGAATGGTGCAATTTCAGTTCATGGATTGGCTGAGAGCATGAGCACTTCTGGTGCAGATACTTGTTCATGCACATTTAAAATTTGCTTTTTGCAATTATTTTTGCATGCAGCTTTAAGGTGTGCTTTCCCTAAACATTCATGCCACTAACACTTTAGTCACATGGAGGCTCACCGAAAGTAACCCAAAAAGTTTAAAAGTCTAGCTGGAGTTAATTCATTTTACAACTGGAGCAAATATGTGTGGGACATTTTCATAGTATTCACGCAACTTTAGTTGTGAGCAGCATAATTATTTAAAAAGTGTATTTCCTGCCTCACTGCAGTTTTCTATTTTTCACTTTTCAAAAAACTCCATATCTAATTTTTCCAAATTTTAAAAAATACCCTATTGAAGAAAATAACTAGAAACTGCAACTAAGTGACCAGAATGTGTAGTATTTGCTTACAGGGGAATCACTGACAATCCATACATTGCTGGCCTTCCTTATTTTGATAGAAAGCAAGAACTGACTTTTTCAGAGAGCAGAGAACACCCCATTTTTTCAGAAAGGGCTATGGCTTTCTTTGTTTTCAAGCACTACAGCAAACTTGCTGCTGCCTTTTCTTTTCATTATTGGCAATTTAATTCTCCTCAGTGCATCTGTATTAGGCTAAACTGCATCCCAATCACGTCACTTACGCTTTCGCTTTGAAACCACTTGGACTGGGGGAAGGATTCTGTTTGATGCTGAGCATTCTAAATGGGGAGGCTAATATTGCAAGGCAGCAGAAATGGCTGCTAATTTTAAACTACCAGCTTAATCTTTCTCTAGCAGAAACACACATTTTCTTCTACCATATTTTTTTCTCATAATAGAAATGAGACAGTTCCCAGGGGTGCGGTTACCAAAAGATAATCTCACCCCAATCTGTTTAGAGGCATGAGGGTCATGCCTCAAAATGCTCTAGCATATGATTATTTTATGAAAACCATACTGTGTATCATGGCTTATTGATTAACTAATAAAGCTTCAGTATTATTATTCAGAGGAGGGGGCTGAGATATCAGAGGAAGATCTGATTCTGGAATGGGAAAGATTCTATCTTGCTAATCAAACCACCTTTCTCTTGCCCTGATTATAACCTTTGTGTGAAATTATAGGGTCAATGGATGCCAGTTTTAGTTTTTCATCAGTGATTAGCTCACTGGTTTATTAAAACTGAAAAACACCCGGAAACATATTTATGTGAAGACAAATTTTCACTAGACTGTTCCCTTTCCATTTATACTACATATAAGGGTTACAGAGCAGAATATGATTTGGGTTTCTAGCGAGCCTTATTGTAGTCAAGGTACTAGAAGTGTGTCACACGATAGTACGTTAGATACCAGCAGTGCAGTGACTCATAGCCAAGTATGCCCTGCTGTTGCACTTTTAATAATAGCTCTTGCACAGCCTGGAACATTAGAACCTATTTTACTGAGAGAGGCAATGTTAGACTGGGCACTGGGGTAAACATCGTGCTCAGGGATGCTCTAAATGATGCCTGCTGGTAATGGTGCCCATTCCAAAAGACTGTTATGCCACCAGAAGATCACTTGAGAGCAGTGTACTACTCTACACCAGCTGGAATTCCCCCACATTGGAGGACTCCTGATCTACTCATTTAGTGCAGCTGTTTGGCCCTTATGTATCAAGAGTGGCACAGAAAGGCTGGAATCTAGCCCTTGCCTCCTAGTCCAGTGCTTTAATTACGAGACCATCTCCCCATAGATTTCAGAGTAGCAGCC